AGTTTTACCTCTAATCACGAATGTGGGTTGTGGAGGTGTGTTGCTGCACGGCTGTACGTAATCCACCTAATTCATATATGCGAAAGTGACGTATTGGAACATATACAATGTCACTTCCGGAATTGTCGTATCCTCCATTTTGGATGCGGGCAGTTGTCTCTCTGGGGACGTGTTCTCAAGCAACACTCAGTAATCACTTTAGATAACATGAGTCCAAATAATAAAATGAATTGTGTGTATATACAGGAAATAAACAGAAAAAAACATTAATTAAAATATATTTGTGCATATCGTATACATATCGTATACATAAGTTAGATATAAAAAAGTCAAAAAAATGTAAAAAAAATCTGAGTGATAGAAAAATGTGTTACTTTATAAATCAAATTAAAAGGTACCCTTATTTTATATACATAACCTTTACTTAATGATTGTTTAAATTCTATCTGAAACAAGTAAGTCATAGGTACATACAACACCAATACTAAAATATATATTTATTTAACTTATCTGACCACTCCATAAAAAGGGAACATTTCTAAAAATTAACTGAGATAATAATAACTACAGAAAGTGACAAAGTTAAAAATCATTGTTTAAACCGTGAGCTTGTAAAGTACGTAGGTTGAAGATCCACTTTATCTCTGATATTCCCAATCTCTTAATTAGGCCCTCACCTCTCCAATTTATTTTAAAGGATCACTACACTGTCAGGAAAACAAACCTGTTTTCCTGACACTGTAGTGCCCTAAGGGTGCCCCAACCCTCAGGGCCCCCCTCCCAACGGCGCTGAAGGGGTTAAAACCCCTTCAGCAGCGTACGTTAATCCAGCACCAGGCTCCCTCGGCGCTGGTGACCTCTTCTCTCCCGCCGATGTCAGCTAACGAGTGGAGCGGAATGCAAATGCGGGGCAAGAGGCTTGCGCACATTCAAACAGTCCATAGGAAAGCATTTATCAATGCTTTCCTATGGATGCTCTGCGCGATGGATGCGAATTTCGCATCCAGCATTGCAGAAGCGCCTCTAGCGGCTGTCATGAAGACAGCCACTAGAGGTTGGATTAACCCCAAATGTAAACATTGCAGCTTCTCTGAAACTGCTATGTTTACATCTGATGGGTTAAAACCTGAGGGACCTGGCACCCAGACCACTTCATTCAAAAATGGTAATTTGGTGGGGTCACTATTATGGTGAGTCTTAAAATGGAGAGATACACTATGTTTAATGTAACCATTCCTCACATTCCTAATATGTTCTTGTATCCTTCCTTTAAGTGGACGAACGGTACGTCCTATGTATGATAATCCACATGGACCGTTATCATATAGATTACCTTTTTAGAATGCCAAGTGATGATATGATTCATTTTAAACATTTCTCTTGAATTTTGTGGATGTGAAAACTCTTTAATTAACCTCTTCATGCTTGTTGTGTTTTTGCAGGAACCCCAAATCCCACAACCATAAAAACCTTTGGATTCATTAGAAGGATTTAGAGTGTCCTTTCTCATATTAGTGTGAACTCAGATTAGGTACACCACGATAATCTTTTTAACTTGGTTGCTTTGACAATTAAAATATATATATATATAAAGGTATCGAATTATCATTAGGTAAAACACATTCTTCTTTATAGTTTTAAAGAGTCTTTCTATCTTTGAGTGTAAGACTCTTTTAAACTATAAAGAAGAATGTGTTTTACCTAATGATAATATGATATATTTGTGGCTTGGTGAATGGTGTCGGGAGCAAGGATTTGGCTTTATTTCTCATGGTAGCTCTGTTTGGAATGGAGATAAGCTGTACAAAAAAGATGGTTTGCATCTTTCTCAAAAGGGAACAAATGTTCTCAGTGAGCAGTTCAGAGGTTTTGCTAGGATGTATTTAAACTAGGAGGGGGGGGCAAAAGGGTGATAAAACATCAATCCAATTGTCCCCAAAACAAGGACAGAAGGTGCCTGTAGCAAGTGTGTTAAAAAATGATAAGCTTAGAGTCATGTCTACAAATGCTCGCAGTTTAGGGAATAAGATCCATGAACTTGTGGCAATAATGGCAACTGATAGTGTAGATTTAGTCGCTGTTACTGAGACATGGTACAATGAGAAAAATGACTGGGACATAGCAATACCAGGGTACTCTTTATATAGGAAAGATAGGGAAGGCAAGAAAGGGGGAGGGGTGGCCTTGTATGTGAAGGATAGCATAAAATCTAGCCTAATAAAAGTTAGTGAGGCAAACATAGAGTCCGTTTGGGCTACGTTAGAATTTGGTAATCACACAGTAACTCGTGTAGGTGTGATTTATAGGCCCCAGGACAAATTGAAGAGTTAGATAATCTACTAGTTGAGGAAATAGCTAAAATGACAATGAAGGGGGAAGTTATCATCATGGGTGACTTTAATCTTCCTGATGTAAATTGGAAAACAAAATTAGCTACTTGTGCCAGGAGCACACATATTCTAAACTCCCTACTGGGATTGTCTCTAAAACAAGTTGTTGAGGAGCCAACTCGTAAAGAGGCCATACTAGATTTAGTGTTAACAAATGGAGATTTGGTATCAGATATTACTGTAGGTGAAAGTTTAGGATCCAGTGATCATCAGTCAGTGTGGTTTAATATAAGAACAGTGACTGAGTCACACCACACAAAAACAAAAGTTTTAGACTTTAGAAAAACAGACTTTTCTAAAATTAGAATATGTGTAGAGGAGTCATTATCAGACTGGAGCAATTTAAATGGAGTCCAAGAGAAATGGGATTATTTAAAAGTTGCACTATTGAAGGCAACAGAAAATTGCATTAGGTTTGTCAGTAAAAGCAAAAAATTCAAGAAACCACTGTGGTACTCCGCAGATGTGGCCAAAATAGTTAAAAACAAAAAGTTAGCATTTAGGAATTATAAAAAAAACCCAGAGTGAGGAAGACAAAATGATCTATAAGATTAGGCAGAAAGAGGCTAAGCAAGTTATAAGAGCTTCCAAATCACACACAGAAGACAAAATAGCACAGTCAGTAAAAAAGGGGGATAAAACATTTTTTAGATACATAAATGAGAAAAGAAAAGTAAAACAAGGATTAGTTAGATTAAAAACAAAAGAAGGAAGGTATGTAGAAGAGGATAAAGGTCAGGCTGACTGCCTCAATGAATATTTTGTTCTGTATTTACAGAAGAAAATGAAGGAAAGGGACCTCAGTTGAGAAAAAGGATAAATGAGTCATTTATTACACGTGAGTTTACAGAGGAAGAGGTTCTATTTCAACTGTCAAAAGTAAAGACAAATAAGTCAATGGGACCTGATGGAATACACCCAAAGCTATTAAAAAGAGCTTAGTGGTGTACTAGCAAAACCATTAACAGATTTATTTAACCAATCATTGTTAACAGGAGTAGTCCCAGAAGATTGGAAGTTAGCGAATGTTGTGCCCATTCACAAGAAAGGTAATAGGGAGGAGTCGGCAACTATAGGCCAGTAAGCCTTACTTCAGTAGTGGGGAAAGTGATGGAAACCATGTTAAAGGATAGAATTGTTGAACATCTAAAAACACATGGATTTCAAGATCAGAGACAACATGGGTTTACTTCAGGGAGATCATGCCAAACTAATCTTATTGATTTTTTTGATTGGGTAACTAAAATATAGATCAGGGTGGTGCAGTAGACATTGCTTACCTAGATTTCAGTAAGGCTTTTGACACTGTTGCACATAGAAGGCTTATCAATAAACTGCAATCTTTAAGTTTGGATTCCAATATTGTAGAATGGGTAAGGCAGTGGCTGAGTGACAGGTAATAGAGGGTTGTAGTTAATGGAATATATTCCAAGCTTGGACTTGTCACCAGTGCGGTACCTCAGGGATCTGTACTTGGACCCATTCTCTTTAATATTTTTATTAGTGATATTGCAGAAGGTCTTGATGGTAAGGTATGTCTTTTTGCTGATGATACTAAGATATAGAAACATAGAAACATAGAAACATAGAATGTGACGGCAGATAAGAACCATTCGGCCCATCTAGTCTGCCCAATTTTCTAAATACTTTCATTAGTCCCTAGCCTTATCTTATAGTTAGGATAGCCTTATGCCTATCCCACGCATGCTTAAACTCCTTTACTGTGTTAACCTCTACACTTCAGCTGGAAGGCTATTCCATGCATCCACTACCCTCTCAGTAAAGTAATACTTCCTGATATTATTTTTAAACCTTTGTCCCTCTAATTTAAGACTATGTCCTCTTTGTTGTGGTAGTTACCTTCTTTTAAATATAGTCTCCTCCTTTATTCTGTGTTGATTTCCTTTATATATTTAAATGTTTCTATCATATCCCCCTGTCTCACTTCTTTCCTCCAAGCTATACAAGATCCTTTAACCTTTCCTGGTAAGTTTTATCCCTGCAATCCATGAACCAGTTTAGTAGCCCTTCTCTGAACCCTCTCTAAGGTATCAATATCCTTCTGAAGATACGGTCTCCAGTACTGTGTACAATACTCCAAGTGAGGTCTCACCAGTGTTCTGTACAATGGCATGAGCACTTCCCTCTTTCTACTGCTAATACCTCTCCCTATAAAACCAAGCATTCTGCTAGCATTTCCTGCTGCTCTATTACATTGTCTGCCTACCTTTAAGTCATCTGAAATAATTACTCCTAAATCCCTTTCCTCTGATGTTGAGGTTAGGACTCTATCAAATTTTCTGTATTCTGCCCTTGGGTTTTTACGTCCAAGATGCATTATCTTGCACTTATCCACATTAAATGTCAGCTGCCACAATTTGACCATTTTTCTAGTTTACCTAAATCATTTGTCATTTGGCTTATCCTCCTGGAACATCAACCCTTGTTACATATCTTTTAGTATCATCAGCAAAAGACATACCTACCATCATGACCTTTCGCAAATATCAATACTAATAAAAATATTAAAGAGAATGGGTCCAAGTACAGATCCCTGAGGTACCCCACTGGTGACAAGTCCAAGCTTCGAAAATATTCCATTAACTACAACCCTCTGTTGCCTGTCACTCAGCCACTGCCTTACCCATTCAACAAAATTGGAATCCAAACTTAAAGATTGCAGTTTATTGATAAGCCTTCTATATGCAACAGTGTCAAAAAGCCTTACTGAAATCTAGGTAAGCAATGTCTACTGCACCACCCTGATCTATAATTTTAGTTACCCAATCAAAAATATCAATAAGATTAGTTTGGCATGATCTCCCTGAAGTAAACCCATGTTGTCTCTGATCTTGAAATCCATGTGTTTTAGATGTTCATCAATCCTATCCTTTAACATGGTTTCCATCACTTTCCCTACTACTGAAGTAAGGCTTACTGGCCTATAGTTGCCCGACTCCTCCCTATTACCTTTCTTGTAAATGGGCACAACATTCGCTAACTTCCAATCTTCTGGGACTACACCTGTTAACAATGATTAGTTAAATAAATCTGTTAATGGTTTTGCTAGTACACCACTAAGCTCTTTTAATAGCTTTGGGTGTATTCCATCAGGTCCCATTGACTTATTTGTCTTTACTTTGACAGTTGAAATAGAACCTCTTCCTCTGTAAACTCACGTGTAATAAATGACTCATTTATCCTTTTTCTCAACTGAGGTCCCTTTCCTTCATTTTCTTCTGTAAATACAGAACAAAAATATTCATTGAGGCAGCCAGCCTGACCTTTATCCTCTTCTACATACCTTCCTTCTTTTGTTTTTAATCTAACTAATCCTTGTTTTACTTTTCTTTTCTCATTTATGTATCTAAAAAATGTTTTGTCCCCCTTTTTTACTGACTGTGCTATTTTTCTCTTCTGTGTGTGATTTGAAGCTCTTTATAACTTGCTTAGCTCTTTTCTGCCTAATCTTATAGATCATTTTGTTTCCTCACTCTGGGTTTTTTATAATTCTAAATGCTAACTTTTTGTTTTTAACTATTTTGGCCACATCTGCGGAGTACCACAGTGGTTTCTTGAATTTTTTTGCTTTACTGACAAGCTCAATGCAATTTTCGTTGTGCCTTCAATAGAGCAACTTTTAAATAATCCCATTTTTCTGGACTCCATTTAAATTGCCTGTCTAGTCTGATAATGACTCCTCTACCCATATTCTAATTTTAGAAAAGTCTTTTTCTAAAGTCTAAAACTTTTGTTTTTGTGTGGTGTGACTCAGTCACTGTTCTTATATTAAACCACACTGACTGATCACTGGATCCTAAACTTTCACCTACAGTAACATCTGATACCAAATCTCCATTTGTTAACACTAAATCTAGTATGGCCTCTTTACGAGTTGGCTCCTCAACAACTTGTTTTAGAGACAATCCCAGTAGGGAGTTTAGAATATGTGTGCTCCTGGCACAAGTAGCTAATTTTATTTTCCAATTTACATCAGGAAGATTAAAGTCACCCATGATGATAACTTCCCCCTTCATTGTCATTTTAGCTATTTCCTCAACTAGTAGATTATCTAACCCTTCAATTTGTCCTGGGGGCCTATAAATCACACTTACACGAGTTACTGTGTGATTACCAAATTCTAACGTAGCCCAAACGGACTCTATGTTTGCCTCACTAACTTTTATTAGGCTAGATTTTATGCTATCCTTCACATACAAGGCCACCCCTCCCCCTTTCTTGCCTTCCCTATCTTTCCTATATAAAAAGAGTACCCTGGTATTGCTATGTCCCAGTCATTTTTCTCATTGTACCATGTCTCAGTAACAGCGACTAAATCTACACTATCAGTTGCCATTATTGCCACAAGTTCATGGATCTTATTCCCTAAACTGCAAGCATTTGTAGACATGACTCTAAGCTTATCATTTTTAACACACTTGCTACAGGCACCTTCTGTCCTTGTTTTGGGGGACAATTGGATTGATGTTTTATCACCCTTTTGACCCACCCCTCCTAGTTTAAATACATCCTAGCAAAACCTGAACTGCTCACTGAGAACATTTGTTCCCTTTTGAGAAAGATGCAAACCATCTTTTTTGTACAGTTTATTTCCATTCCAAACAGAGCTACCATGAGAAATAAAGCCAAATCCTTGCTCCCAACACCATTCACCAAGCCACAAGTTAAAGTCCCTAATACACATCCGCCTGTCGTTCTGAGTGTTATGCACAGGCAGAACTTCAGAGAATGACAGTGTGGAAGCAACCTGCCGTATATCATTGGCAAAAACACTAAAAACTTCCCTAACCTCTGAAACCTCATTGCAAGCCAAGTCATTTGTCCCTAGATGGACAAGTACATCCAATTCCCCTTCCTGCTTTGCTTGCTTAACAATATTACAGATACGCCTCCTGTCTCTGTGAGCAGTAGCTCCAGGAAGACACCTCACAAGACCACCATTGTCCATCTCCACACCTCTTATAATGGAATCACCCAACAACAACTGCTTTCTATTAGGCTTCACCATACTCTCCAAGCCGGTCTCCACAACACCACTAGTCTCAGTGCCTCTCTCCACAACACCACTAGTCTCAGTGCCTCTCTCCACAACACCACTAGCCTCAGTGCCTCTCTCCACAACACCACTAGCCTCAGTGCCTCTCTCCACAACACCACTAGCCTCAGTGCCTCTCTCCACAACACCACTAGTCTTAGTGCCTCTCTCCACAACACCACTAGTCTTAGTGCCTCTCTCCACAACACCACTAGCCTCAGTGCCTCTCTCCACAACACCACTAGCCTCAGTGCCTCTCTCCACAACACCACTAGCCTCAGTGCCTCTCTCCACAACACCACTAGCCTCAGTGCCTCTCTCACAACACCACTAGCCTCAGTGCCTCTCTCCACAACACCATTACACTCTGAAAGTGCAGAAAATGAATTATGAAGAGCAACAGACTGTGCAAAATGCCTTTTATCCACAACTCTAAGTCTACCAGATCCTACAGTAATGTAACAGGGTTGATGTTCCAGGAGGGATAAGCCAAATGACTAATGATTTAGGTAAACTAGATAAATGGTCAGAATTGTGTCAACTGACATTTAATGTGGATAAGTGCAAGATAATGCATCTTGGACGTAAAAACCCAAGGGCAGAGTACAGAATATTTGATAGAGTCCTAACCTCAACATATGAGGAAAGGGATTTAGGGGTGATTATTTCTGATGACTTAAAGGTAGGCAGACAATGTAATAGAGCAGCAGGAAATGCTAGCAGAATGCTTGGTTGTATAGGGAGAGGTATTTGCAGTAGAAAGAGGGAAGTGCTCATGCCATTGTACAGAACACTGGTGAGACCTCACTTGGAGTATTGTACACAGTACTGGAGACCGTATCTTCAGAAGGATATTGATACCTTAGAGAGGGTTCAGAGAAGGGCTACTAAAATGGTTCATGGATTGCGGGATAAAACTTAACAGGAAAGGTTAAAGGATCTTAACATGTATAGCTTGGAGGAAAGACGAGACAGGGGGGATATGATAGAAGCATTTAAATATATAAAGGGAATCAACACAGTAAAGGAGGAGACTATATTTAAAAGAAGAAAAACTACCACAACAAGAGGACATAGTCTTAAATTAGAGGGACAAAGGTTTAAAAAGTATTACTTTACTGAGAGGGTAGTGGATGCATGGAATAGCCTTCCAGCTGAAGTGGTAGAGGTTAACACAGTAAAGGAGTTTAAGCATGCGTGGGATAGGCATAAGGCTATCCTAACTATAAGATAAGGCTAGGGACTAATGAAAGTATTTAGAAAATTGGGCAGACTAGATGGGCCGAATGGTTCTTATCTGCCGTCACATTCTTTGTTTCTATGTTTATATATATATATACCAATTGAGTTTGAGGGGTTACGTTTAAGTATATGGAATGAGATGAACAAGTTTTTAAGGTCTCAACCTCCCCTGCTTCAAAAAGGTTAAACATTAGGTTGCCTGAGGTGTCGTGCCCATCGAGCGTGGATAAGGTCGGCTGATGGCGGGCATTGGAAAGATATGATTTTATGACGAGGGGGGAGGTGAGAGGAAGTGGTGATTAGGAACCACTGTATGTTTATTGGCAAGGACGGTTGGGTCACTGTATAACACTATGTGTGGAGTTATATATGTATATATGTTATGCTTATTTATGTCTAACGTTTTGGTTACAGAAAAAGAAGAGATTTAATAAATAAAGTTATGGATGTGTTATGCAGTAATTTAGTTTGTGATAATAAATGCTGTGGCCTGTTCATCCATACTAAGTGGTCTGTCATTATTGGGGGGGAGGGGGGGTTGAATGGGGTTAGTTTAGTTATAGGCTGCATCGCAATTCCCCACTACGTACATACAAGCGCACTCACCTATCCACTAAACAGCAACTTCAATGTTGAAAGATTTTATTTGTTTTTTTTTAAAACACCTAAACTAGGCAAAAATAATGGGGGTTTAGTTACATTATATGATCATACATTGCATAAGCCTGCCACAACGTCAATGTACCCCATCTTTGGCAGGTCCTACACTTACAGCCTAATGTCTGCTCTTATGAGATTAACCTACTTGGGGAAAGAAATTCCATCTGGGGCTCTCTGCAGTACAAGGCTAAATAGGGCCCTGGGATGAGGCACCTGTGACAGGGAGGGGTGCAAAACCAAGGAGTTGGCTAGACTCCCAAATATTATTTTTGCCTAGTTTAGGTGTTTTAAAAAAAAACAAATAAAATCTTTCAACATTGAAGTTGCTGTTTAGTGGATAGGTGAGTGCGCTGGATCTTGTGTAATATATATATTTTAATTGTCAAAGCAACCAAGTTTAAAAGATTATCTCTAAATACTGGCCAATTTTAAAAAAACAATGAAGCACTCAATGTCATTTTACCAGATAGATCCAAAATAGTCTATAGTGGTGTACCTAATCTGAGAAATAGTTTAACCAATAACCACACTAATATGAAATAGGACACACTAAATCCTTAGGGGGAGAGTGTGACAGGGTTTAAGGTAAGTGTGGCACAGTTGGAGGACAGGATTGGAGGGGTTTATATGGTAGGGTAAGTGTGGCAGGGTTTATATGGTAGGGTGAGTGTGGCAGGGTGAAGAGAGTGAGTGTGAGAAGGTGAGTCTAGCAGGATTGGGGGATTAATATGATAGGGTAAATGTGGCAAAGCGAGGGTGGGTGAGTTTGGTATGCTTGGAGGGAGTGAGAGTGACAGGATTAAAAGGGGTTAATGAGAGTGGAGCTGATTGAAGGGGTGACAGTGTGTGGGGGCTGAAAGTTATTTGGGTTGGTGATAGTGTATGGAGGGGGTGTCAGTGTATGGGGGTGACAGTGTGTGTGTGTGTGACAAGGTGTGTGGGAAGGTGACAGGGTGTGTGGGGGTGACTGGGAACGTGTATGGGGGGGAGTAACATGTTTGTGTGTGTGTCTGTGTGTGTGTGGGAGGTGACAGGGTGTGTAGGGGGTGACTGGGAACGTGTATGGGGCGGAGTAACATGTTGTGTGTGTCTGTGTGTGTGTGGGAGGTGACAGGGTGTGTGATCGGGCTGTGACAAGGTGTGTTGGGTATCGGGATATATTCGGGTGTGGGTGGCTGTAAGAGGGATGGGGGCTAAGAGCGGGTAAGGGGGCTGTGAGAGGGTAGGGGTAGGGTGTTAGTGGGGTGGCTGTAAGGGTGTGTGTGGGCACAGTGTTTGGGGGGTCTCTGAAAGGGTGATGGGCTGTGAGAGGGTAGGGGGGCTGTGAGAGGGTGTGAGGTGGGTACGTGGGCTGTGAGAGGGTGGGGGGCTATGAAGTGGTAGGGGGACTGTGAGGTGGGTAAGGTGGCTGTGAGAGGGTTAGGGGGCTGTGAGGTGGGTAGGGGGCTATGAAGACCTTCTGTTTTTTGTAATTATTCCCTGGTGGTCCGGTGGGCAGCTTTTGCTGGTGGTCCGGTGGGATGGCCGGGTGCAGAGCTGCAGACCACATGGTAAGTCTTGCGATCTCCAGTCAGAGCGTTGCCGTGGTAACCTGCAGCTACGCTCTTATTGGCTGGAGATCGCGGGAAAAAATAGTCTGCAGCTCTGCACCCGGGCAGACTAAGCAGAGGGGCCTCGCACCCGGTGACATAAAGCGAAAGCCGCCAGGCCTTCTCCTGTGTTGGGTCATGTTACACTGCCCTATGGT